GCTGGCGCAGGGATAGAGGTGAGGTTCTGGGGGGACGGGTAAATTAAACAAATACTTGATACAAACGAGTTCGTCTGCGGAATGTGAGGACACGAAGAGCTGCGGGTGCCTGTTTCTGAGCATCCCCATCCCTCAAAGAACTATAAGGATGCCAACTTGTCGAGGTTCGAGTGGTGTGTGTGTGTGTGTGTGGTGTGTGTGTGTTGTGTGTGTGTGCGTGCGTGCGTCGTGCGTGCGTGCGTGCGTGGTGCGTGTGGTGTGTGTGTGTGTGTGTGTGTGGGATGCGTCACGGCGGCGAGGCGCATCAGAAGGCGGGAGAGGGGCTCTCGTTAGTTGTGACGCTGTTGTAACTTTTCCCTCAGCGGAAAGACACGCATTCACATACAAGACTCGACCAGGTGTTACAGATGCCAGACTTTTGGGCACGTCACTGGCAAGTGCTAGAAGCCTACGCAGCGTGGGAGATACGAGAAAACTGGACATCAGTATGCGGATTACGGAGTCGACCAAGCATGCTGTGTTAACTGTGGTCAAGGGCACGAATCGTCATTCAGAGACTCCGGTGTTCCTGACCCAGACAGAGATCATGGACAATGAGACGAGTTAGGGTATGTCATTCTGAGTGGCCCAGCGCCGACGTGAGGCCCTAGCACGGCACGGCCTTATAGAGTCGCTTTGGCTGAACCGGCGCGGAGTCTTCCCGAGCTGTCACCGGTACGTTTTAACGCCCTGCAATTGCACGGTCTGGGCGGTTTCAAAACAATGACAGTTGGCGAGTTTGTGCAGGTCGTTTAAGACACGTCCGCTTCATTTGACGTCGCTACATAGTCGTGTAAAGCACAGGGCCCAGCGACGGAAACGCGTTCTGCGGCAACACCAGTCCCACTGCAACCCACTCCGAGGTGGCCGAACCTTCGCATGAGTCTGTAAGCAAACTTGGTTGTGAAGCGGGTCCTGGGGACGCGGGATGGCCCGTGGTTCAGCGGGACCGTGGCTCCCGCGCTCCTCCAACGCCCGCTAGCTCGTCCGGTGCTGGAGGTTTGCGTGCCCGCACACCGACTCCCTCCCCGCCATCCCGACGAGCTGGGTCTGGAGGTCAGCGAGAAACGAATCCGGTTGTATCTCCGCCCGCGAGCGGGCCATGGCGTGTCCCGCCCCGCCGCGGTGTTGGCTCGCGCCTCGCAGCGTACATCAGAGCCGGATGTCCGCCCAGCGGCGCTGGGCCCTTTGGCCGCGGGGAGTTAATTAGTTAGTTAGATCAGGCGTTAGGCCCGATCTGCGCTTGGGACGGCGGCTCCGGGTGCGGTGAGAGTGGGCGGTCGCAAGCGACCCTACCGCCCTCCCCGGGTGCCGCGGGCTGGACCCCGTCTAGTGCCTGTTTCCCTTCTGTCCGTCGCGCCACCAAGTGCACCCTGCCTTGGCCGGTGTCGCCGACTGAGGGTGGAAGCCCGGAGGCCCGACCGAAGAGTAGGTCGGGCGCTTTCGCGAAGGCAGAAACGTCCCTCGAGCTCTCCACGCGGATCAGGACCTCGAGCTCTCCACGTGGATCAGGAACTCGAGATCTACCCGCGGATCAGGACCACGAACTTCCACGCGGATCAGGATCTCGAGCTCTCCACGCGGATCGGGACCCCTCGAGCTCTACACGTGGATCAGGAGCTGATGGTCTTGTGCAAGTTGCTTAGTGTTAGTAGTGTCAGTCATGTTTTAGTTCTATGGTTTGGTTCCACGACACTAATTCTAATCGCTGCCGAATATTTGTTGCCTGAAAATAATCAATCGATAAGTGTCGGTGATATTGAGTTCCTCGTCCTTCGAGTCTGTATTTGACCTTGAAGCACGAACTTGAGAGGTCAGCATTTCGTAACAGGCGCTCGTTCATGCGCTTGACGATTCTGGTGCTTCAAATTCAAATAGGGTCGTAGCGTTTGGATTATATGGCTTTACGCTACATGGGCGCAAAATTATCTTCGACGTTGGTGCGCCGCAACACTCCAGTCATATTTTGTGCCATTCGAGCTTGAAGGGCGGCCTTGCTGTTCAGGCCTTTTGACGGACGATAGTTTATGCTCTAATAATTATTGTGATACTCAGAAATCCTGAATCGGCTGTTAATTTTTACGTGGTATGGAGTTACCCGTCCTTTGAGCCTGACTTTGATCTAGAAGGGTAACCTAGAGAGGTCAGGCCTTCTTACTGAAGCTAGCTAGGTCCTGCACTGATGAATATTGTGATGCTTGAAGATTTTTAATCGGTCGGTAACTTCTGGGTGAGCTTCCCGTACGTTGACCATAGATTGACCTTGTAGTTCAGATGATATTGTGAACATAGACGTCACATTCGGTGTACTCGTGCCTTAATGACAGCGTAGCGCGTTTTCAGCGAAATCGGAACTTTTTGCTAAATACATTGTCAACTTTACGGGCATATGTTACCGTATTTTGATAGTGTATTACTTCCTTCGCCGTCGTAAATGCATAGCTAGATGTAATCGTAACATGCATATGACAGTGATATCATACAATTCATGTGAAAAACTACACATAAGTGGAAACAGCTTCTTCCATGTTTGATATCTTACCAGGCCCGTGTTGATGCCAATGATATATATTTCAATAAAACAAAACAACTTTTTCTGAAAATTTGAACTTAAGTCGCCGGAACCTGTTGAGGTAAACGGGAAATAAGCTTGGCAAGTCACTTTTTGGTCTCCCCAGTGTTAAGCTAGTTCCCGCGCCCCCAGCCATTCGTTCCGTGTTATTCAGTGCCTACAGCCCGGTGCAACTCTCGAAGCTTTCAACAATACCCGGCCAGATTTTCAGTGACCGGGGCGATCCGTCCCGAATGACAATTATAGCGTCAAGCTTCTTATCATGGTGCCTGCAACCCGCGTCCGAAGGCTTTTGCCACTGTCGGCACCTCTTCGGGTCGAAGAAATTAAAAAAAGAAAAGTGAGAGGAAAAATGAATAGTGGCGAATAAACGACGTCACGTGAACGACGTGTTCCGCATTTACCTTGCGAAAGTCCGTCATCGATTATTATTAAAAGCCAAGTGGAGCATGCCGGGCGACGGGCGGGGAGAGCGCTCGCTGCGCCGAGCCTATCTGGGCCAGTTCTCTCCCGGATCGAGTGGCCCTGCTCCCTACTAACCCAGTTACTCGCGGAAAGGTCAACTGGGGCTTCCCGGCCGGTGGCGGTGACCGCTACTGGAGACGAGGGTCAACGGCAGGCGGTGGCCTCCGTAGGTGGCACGCTGCTGCCGGGGTTCAGGACCGGACACAGCACGGCTGCTGGTCATCAGGACCGGACACAGCACGGCTTGCCGGAATCAGGACCGGACACAGTGCGGCCTGCCGGGAATCAGGACCGGCACACAGCACGGCTGCTGTCATCAGGACCGGACACAGCGCGGCTGCTGATCATCAGGATCGGACACAGCACGCCGCCGGGAATCAGGACCGAACGCAGCACGGCTGCTAGTTATCAGGACCGGACACAGCGCGGCTGCTGGTCATCAGGATCGGACACAGAATGGCTGCTGGTCATCAGGATCGGACACAGCACGGCTGCCGGGCTTCAGGACTGGATATAGCACGACTGCCGGGAACCAGGACCGGACACAGTGCGGCCGCTGGTCATCAGGACCTGGACACAGCACGGCTGCCGGTAATCAGGACCGGACACAGAGCGGCTGCCGGGAATCAGGACCGGACACAGCACGGCTGCCGGGAATCAAGACCGGACACAGCACGGCTGCTGGTCATCAGGACCGGACACAGAGCGGCTGCCGGGAATCAGGACCGGACACAGCGCCGTTGTCGGAGATCAGGACCGGACACAGCGCCGCTGTCGGGGATCAGGACCGGCCACAGCACTGCTGACGGCTGCATGTGTCCGTAGTACAATCTCATCCGACCGACCGGACACCGTCCACTGGGACCGTCTGCACCAGACAGTGTTTTCGTCTGCCAGATGCACGGCTACCCCGTGGTCCATCCGTCCCTCTGGCGCGGACTCGTCCAGCCCGCCGTCGAGCCCGTCTGGGTGGCTGAAGCCCACAGATTCCACGCCCTTCTGTCTGCCTAGCTGCAAACATCTCCTCTTTATAGTCCCTACAGCGACGGGTCAGTATAATGCTCCACCCCCCCACCCTCCCCCCCCCCCCACCCACGGCCCTATGCAAGAGACCTGCCAAATGCATAGCACATCTACCTTCCTTAACCCGTGAGTGGATTGTGACAGCCGAGTTGTGGGTGAAATAATTCCATCGAACAACTCAGACGCAAAAAGAAACAAAATGATGAACCTGATGGCACCATAACCGGCTTTTTGGGGTGCATTCCTGTCTTTTGCCATCTTCAGTTTTTTTCCAGCAATTTTTCTTGCCGGCATCGTGGCATATCTCAGGCCAAATCGACGATTTGCTGCGAACAAAACAACTCACTGCTTGTCGGCAGCGGACCTGTTCGACAGGACCGACCGGCCTGATGAAGGCCGTCAGGCTGCCGTCCGTTGACAGGTCTGCGGGACTGAAGCTCAAACCAAGGACAGCGGGATGAGTGACATCTGATAGAAGATGAGTGCCAAGGTGCATCGGGATGGCCTGCGCGATGCGGTGCTTGGGCAGCGACCTCCTTTCTAAAGCGGCTGGGCCTTTCGCCTGGCGCTGACTTCCAAGACGGGTTGCCAGTACAGATGTCGCCAGGTCTGGACTCCTGGGGCGCCAACGGTTGCAAAGCGATCCGAACTGCTGTCCTGGGAGTCAGACTGATGATTTGGAGGGTTGAGCCTTCGGAGCAGGTGAAGCGCCTCTGCCACCAAGGGAACGGGCACGCAAAGCCCTGGAAAAGGCGATGTGGAGATATCTTCCAGCTGGTCGCTCTGTCCGGTCTGTCGAAACCTGTGCGTGTAGGAAGATGTCCTCATAAACGAATGCTAACATCTGCGACGATCGGTGGACGTGATTCCAGGCTTTTGAAGCGTCGACGAGTCATTATTGTGGCCCGGGGCAGCCGAAACACCGCCGATGCACGCCACGAGCGAGCAGCGACCCCCTTAATTTCGCCGGCGCTGCCGTGCATCAGCTCCGAGTGGCTGGCGAATTGCGATAAAATGTAAGAACTAAGTTACGGCTTTTATCTGAGCGAGTTTGTCAGCGATCATGGACGAACAGTGGCATCGCACGGTAGGCAGCCAGGCTTGGGCTGCTTCTGAAACACGTGCTTTAGGTGCACTTGGTGCGCTAGGGATACAAGACAGCACGCAACCAGGCGTGATCCTTCCGTCGAGTTTGTTGATGCCAGCATCTTTATTCATCAATAACGCATTCTCGGTTCGCAAATTTGAAAAAAAAACGCTGCCGAACCGCCAGCCACCATCGACTGCATGCCTGTTGGTAACACCAACTTCGGGACGCGGTGAACCCGACCGACCAACTCACTAACCACCCACATCCTGAACCCACCCAGCACCGGCAGCTGCAAACTTCGCCGGGAGCGCGGGCACAGCGCGGGAGGGCCTCCCTCCTCCCCATCGGGGAAGGATTGGAGGGGGGGGGGGGGGCAGCGGGGCCGGCCGGCGGCCGGCTGCCCAGGCCCGGGGGATTGATTCGGCGCGGGCCCGCGGTGTGTTGTCTGGTTGTCAAGGCGACGCTGACACACGGCGCAGCTCGTGCTGGCCCGCGGCGGTGGGTCAGTGTCGCCCCAGCTGTCGGCGGGATGTCGCTGTGGCCGCGGCCGGCCCCACCACTACTCATGACACGTAAGCACCGTGCTCCAGCACTTGCCGCAGAGGCGAGTCGTGCGGGCGTGTCTGTAGCGGCCATTTGACTGTGGAACACACGCTGGGTTCCACGCCTGAGTCAGGCGTGCTGTAGAGGCATCCGTGCCGAAGTTGTGCTAGAAAAGAAAATAGTAAAAGAAGAAGAAGCTCTCCGACTCGGGCTCCCGCGGCTGAATTGTCAATCTTAGCACTGAATATTGGGCCAAAAAGTGACGCTATCATCAGTACAATGCCAATTTCCCACGAGGCCGTTCAAAGGCTGCCCGCAGCATGACGTCATCAGCGTCATCAGCAAGTGCTGCCTCGTATGTGGGTACAGGTCAACGGCACAGTCCCATTGTGAATTTCAGTGAATATAAAACGCGACCGCTTTAAACGATGCGCATGGCCTCAAACAAGGCCGTCCGGCCATACGTGTGCACTGTGTGTGTCTTCTGGCTTAGGCATGCGTGATCCGCGATTGGTTCTGCGACTCGCCGTCTCGCGTCACTCTGACGGTGGCTTTCAGGGTTACCCCTGCTGTTCATATGGTCCGCCATCGCCATCGCACACGCTGAGGAGGCAGTGCCCTGCCCGCCGCACACGGTAGGTGACCTGAGTCCCGCCCGTCGCGGGGTGAGTGACCCGAGTCATGCCTGTCGTGGGGTGAGTGACCCGAGTCCCGTCTGTCGTGTGGTGAGTGACCTGAGTCTCACTCGTCGTGTGGTTGGTGACCCGAGTCACGCCCGTCGTGTGATTGGTGACCCGAGTCCCGTCTGTCGTATGGTTGGTGACCCGAGTCACGCCTGTCATGTAGTGGGTGACCCGAGTCACGCCCGTCGTGTTATTAGTGACCCGAGTCATGCCCGTTGTGTGGTTGGTGACCCGAGTCACGTCTATCGTATGGTGAGTGACCTGAGTCTCGCTCGTCGTGTGGCTGGTGACCCGAGTTCCGCCCGTCGTGTGGTTGGTGACCCGAGTCCCGTCTGTCGTGTGGTGGGTGACCTGAGTCATGCCCGTTATGTGGCTGGTGACCCGAGTCACGCCTGTCATGTGGTGGGTGACCCAAGTCATTCCCGTTGTGGGGTTGGTGACCAAAGCCACGCCTGCCATGTGGTGGGTGAACCGAGTCCTCTTTATCGCCGTCTTTTCCGTCTGTGGTATGTGAACTGCACATGTGCTAATTTCCCGTCGGAAGCGCGAGCTAGGGGAAATAAGCCACTGATCGATAAGAAGAAATAAGATGTGCTTGCACCGACGACTTGCCAAAATATATAACAATGAAATCAAATTTAGACGTCTAAATGAGCCGCCGATGCCCAGCCGTTTTCCAAACTTGTCGCACACAGTTAGGAGAGCATGGCAAGTTGGTTTCCCACAAACCGATTCGTTAGAAGATTACAAAGAACCGCACTGACAAAGTATGACGCGGTTATTTAAAAGTAATTCCCACGCGCATTACCATGAATAAACGGGCTGCTTATTCTGCATATTAGTGCACGCAGCTCAACGCGTCATTGTTCGTGCTTCTGCGTGCGCACGCAAATGTTGCCGCAGCGGTCTCGGCTCGGCAGAAGCCGCTTGCTTGCTCAACTCGATCGTGCCGCGGACCCCGGGGTCACTCGACGCGTGCACAAATAATTTCCATCGTTTGCCTCAAGGGCGGACCGCTAACGTGTCGGTTAAGCTGGATCACTTCATGTATGCATGCTCGTGCCGCTGGTCGTGCACCTCGCGCGAGACATGGGCTTAACACGTTACCTGTCAAACGCCACGGTTTCTCCAGATTGCCCCTGCACGACGAACGCAGCTCAATGAAGAAACAGCTGATGCGCTCGTTCTCGCGTGGAGGTTGCACGTTGCGCCAAGCACCACAGCGGGTCTGGACGGGTCCGATGTCACGCTCAGCCCCCTGTTGTATACGTTCGCAAAGAGGTATTCAGGCGGCTGCTGGCTTGGCGCTAGCTCAGAATTCGCACTCAGACCATGGATTATTGGGAATGCCTCAAAACATTGTTTGTGTTTCAGAATTCTTCGAAGCGCGGCGGGCACTTTCCTGAAATGATTGGTGGGGCTGTGACGACAAATATCTTTTTTTCTGTCCCTTGTTCCATGCATCGCTGCAGGCCCTTTGACAAAAATATGTCATAATCATGTACCCTCTCAAGGTATACAGAATGGTTAGACCCGTCTCCACATGCGCAGCTGTGTCATCACTCACACACTGTCATGTTAGACAACGTGGCACATCTCGAAAGCGGTATCACAGACGATGCGTTGGCAATTTCAAAGTGGAGGAACATGTCCTTGTATCCCCACGTGCACAGCCACGTTCCTGATCATGATGGGACATTTTCAGGACGAGTGCCTTCACTTACTTGCGTCAAGAAATGTCTGCGGAAGTGAGCGCTGGGTTTTGGAAAACTCGGACAAATTTATTCTCACCCGACGGATAGTGCTGCGACGCACACTTGTTGGTTGCAACTTAGCCAGGTCAACAGAAATTGGTGTGGCAGGCCACAACGTCCCCCGGGCCCATTTCAGTGCATTGATCGATTGGTGCCGCCCGCCGACTGCGAGCCCCTCCCCACGAGCGTGCGGTCAGCGCACTGGGCGGGGAGACAGCTCCACGTCACGCCGGGCGTCAGCGGAGCACGACTGATTGCCCACGTGCAAAGACCGCTTTCTGGTCCAGACCGCCCACTGGCCATTGCCATACAAAGCGCAACTGCATAAGGTGCGGGGATGCCGGAGTTGTTATTTTAATCGACTGATATCAAACAGGCCGCAAACAATGCTATCGGTTCTAGATCTTGGCTGTTGCCGGTGATTAGTAAGGGATGGTAGCTACCTTTCGACGAGGCCTTAACGCCACCCTCCATTTACTAGCTCACGCTGCTTTCCTTGTGACCACCTGTAACGAAATGAGTGGCTACTCACAGATGTGTATGTGCCTGGTAAATGCACACATAACGGTTGGTGTAGGAGCGGGCTGGGGGAGCGGCACAGTGGTCCACCAAATTTGGAACGTGGGGGGGGGACGCAATGGTAGAACGGCCTTCATCTATTTCGACACCATGTCATTGCATCGGAGAAAATGGACAACACACCCGGCGCCCAACGCCGCGAAAACTCTTCCGTCTCGCTAATTGTGCTCCACAGTGAAGCACGCGCACATCCATAACGGCGCGGCCGTTCCCCTCGGCGGGCGCGCACAAATGTTTGCGCAGTCGTCAGTCGATCAGTGTGCGCGGAATAAGCGACAGTGTGTTGCAAACGAAGCGGCCGCCATGCTGACGGCAGTGACGCTATGGCAGCGGTGTACGCACAGCGCTATGGCGGCGTAAATAGGTCGTGGTATTATGGATATACTTAATCCGCCGTACAAACAGCACCAGCAGTGCGACGCACCGATAACATCTGACTGCTGTGGTGATGCAGTCAACTTTACTGCAGTAACGCCGCTACTGCTGGCCGGTGGCGTATGTGCTGGAAGGAATTCTTCCGTTTGGGTTCTGTTTAATTGCGAAGTCCTGATGCTGCACTTATCTATGGAAGGACATTTACGAAGTCCAAAATAACAGCGCAGAGAACTTATAAGACGATGCCGATACAGCACTGGGTGGCCTGACAGTGTTCAGCGCAATTCAACGCCTGTGATTGAATGACCGTCGATAGATACAGTGCGCACTGTGAGTCTTTGAAGCACTGTCCATGCCTTGCCCCTGTTCTGAACTCCCGTCGGAGTGGTCTGACTGTCTGCTGGACGTCGTCAGGTGTTCTGCGCCGGCCTGCTGGCGTGCGTGGCGCAGGAGGCGTGCCCCTCCGGCCAGCCACCTGGAGGCAGTCAGCCGACATGCCCTGAGTCGTGAGTAGCGGGCGATCTTCCCGGCAGTATGAGAGATGAATCGTGTCGGCGCGCGTTTCCACCGTTTCTTTTATCGTTCCAGTTGTGAGCAGACCCACGGACAGGCACCTCTTGTGGAGAACCATTAGTGGGTCCGATGATGCACCGTCTCCGCCAGATATTTGTAGAGGCAGCGAGAAAAGGACAGTTCAAAGGATGAACCATGCTTTTACACTAACAAAAATTGTGAGTTTCGTACACTGCCTCCTAACATCGACTGCCCCTCCCTTTCCATGGGTACACAATTGTTTCCCCTCCTGACGGACAAGCGCAACCTCTGCCCCCGCGCGGGGTCCCTACCCGCAGGCAGACGTACTGTGTGGGGCAGCAGCGATGCCTGGGCGCTGGCGAGCTGTGCGACGCGACCATCGCCGACCGCGTCTGCACCGAGCCCGACCACGTGTTCTGCATGACCGAGATGCGCTGCAAGCGGTCCGGCAGCTGCGGCAGCGGAGAGCTGCTGCCGCCCGCGGGCAGCTGGTGAGTGAGGTCATCGTCTGAGGGGGCTGGTCAGAACGGTCATCGCCTTAGGAGGCTGGTCAGTCCGGCCATCGCCTGAAATCGGCTGCTCACCACGGTCATCGCCTGAGGGGGCTGGTCATGACGGTCATCACCCGAGCTTGGCTGGTCAGCACGGTCGTCGCCCGAGCTGGGCTGGTCAGCACGGTCACCGCCCGGGCTCGGCTGGCCATCGCCCGAGCTCGGCTGATCACCACGGTCATCGCCTGAGGGGGCTGGTCATCACGGTCATCACCCGAGCTCGGCTGGTCACCACGGTCATCACCTGAGGGGGCTGGTCAGCACGGTCACCGCCTGAAGGGGCTAGTCAGCACGGTCGTCGCCCGAGCTCGGCTGGTCACCACGGTCATCACCTGAGGGGGCTGGTCAGCACGGTCACCGCCTGAGGGGGCTGGTCACCACGGTCGTCGCCCGAGCTCGGCTGGTCACCACGGTCATCACCTGAAGGGGCTGGTCAGCACGGTCACCGCCCGAGCTCGGCTGGTCACCACGGTCATCACCTGAGGGGCTGGTCACCACGGTCACCGCCTGAAGGGGCTAGTCACCACGGTCATCGCCTGAGGGGCTAGTCAGCACGGTCACCGCCTGAGGGGGCTGGTCACACGGTCGCCGCCCGAGCTCGGCTAGTCAGCACGGTCATCGCCCGAGCTCGGCTGGTCACCACGGTCATCGCCTGAGGGGGCTGGTCAGCACGGTCACCGCCTGAGGGGGCTCGTCACCACGGTCATCACCTGAGGGGGTTGGTCACCACGGTCATCGCCTGAGGGGGCTGGTCAGTACGGTCGCCGCCTGAGGGAGCTGGTCAGCACGGGTCACCACCACCGCCTGAGGAGGCTGGTCCAGCACGGTCACCGCCTGAGGGGGCTGGTCAGCACGGTCACCGCCTGAGGAGGCTGGGTCAGCACGGTCGCCGCCTGAGGAGGGCTGGTCAGCACAGGTCACCGCCTGAGGGGGCTGGTCAGCACGGTCACCGCCTGAGAGGCTGGTCAGCACGGTCGCCGCCTGAGGAGGATGGTCACCACGGTCGCCGCCTGAGGGGGCTGGTCATCACGGTCATCACCTGAGGAGGCTGGTCACCACGGTCACCGCCCGACTCGGCTGGTCACCACGGTCATCACCTGAGGGGGCTGGTCAGCACGGTCACCGCCTGAGGAGGCTGGTCACCACGGTCCCGCCTGAAGGGGGCTGGTCAGCACGGTCGCCGCCTGAGGAGGCTGGTCACCAGCGGTCACCGCCTGAAGGGGCTGGTCACCACTGTCAATCGCCTGAGGGGCAGCACCCTGAGGCCCGCGCCGCGCCGCTCAGCCCGGCCATGATCACATTCTCACTGTGCGAGTGCTTTGCGAGTCGCCACTTTTCTGTTGATAATTGCCGATGTAAAGTTGAACTACAATTCAAAACATCAAGCCGCCTAGGAAGCCAAAATGCCATCCGCTGGGAAAATTGAGTTTGGTATCCAAAATGCACATTCAATAATGATGTCAATAATTAAGTTTGGTCTGTATATTGCCAATTAGGGAAATCTATCGCATACATAATAACGTTTTCTGATAGCAAATGTCTTTGGTTGCGAAGCCATCATCGTATTATTCAGCAACTTTAGTTAATGCCTTGTTTTCTGAAATCACCAACGAAAAAAGCCTATGCGCAGAGGTCTAAATATTTGAATCGCGATCAGAGTACAACATAACCCCACAAACTCGGCTCGGTCAAGACCTGAGATGGTGGTCGGTAAAATTGCGCTTTAAGTGGTTGGCTGACGTGGAATGTCCAAACTACCACTTCCCGCAGCTAGTGTTCAAGGGCTGTCAGGTTCCTTGCCATTATTTCACAACTCACAGTCTTTTCTGAACTCAACGTGACCAACGCAAGGGTTGGTATTTCGCTCAGCGATGCCCTGCCATCAGCTGGCATGTCCTCCGACTCTGGACAGTGGTAATCCACGAGCTGCCGCCGCGCTGGGCGGGTCACTCTTGGCGGCTGCGGACGTGTTCTGTCAGGCACGCGCTGGTCGAGTCGCAACCCCATGCACCCGAACGTCGCTGGCTTGAACAGCGCTAAACCACTGCCGGCTCCACAGCCCCAACGCGACGCTGGGGCGGGACATGTGACGTTCATGTCGACCGGGTCATCCCGGTCCTGGCGTGATGCGCCCGCGGCACGGTCAGAGGCGCAGGTGCTCTGACGGCTGACCGGGCGCAGGGTCCGGGACCGGCCGGTGTCCGCTGTTGAGCCCGGGACAGGCAGGTGTCCGCTATTGAGCCCGGGACTGGCCGGTGTCCGCTGCCGTGCCGGGGACCGGTCGGTGTCCGCTGCCGTGCCGGGGACCGGCCGGTGTCCGCTGTCGAGCCCGGGACCGGCCGGTGTCCGCTGCCGTGCCGAGCAGGCGTTCCAGGCTCGGTGCTGTGCTGGGCCACGAGCTCATGACGTCATTGCCGAGTATCGACGTGGTTCGTATCCGTGTAATTGTTGCTGCGTTGCTACGGAGACGTGCTGTCGGTCTGCTTTGCCACCACTCAACGCGTCAGGTGTTCTGTTGCGACTGTGTCCGCTTCCGACCACCGGTGCAACGCCGCGAGTCCGTACGCATCGATCCTATTGTGCGAGCACACCTGCACACGTCTTGTCAGGAATGAGTCCCACAGCAGTCATTGAAGGGAGGCAAATACGCAACGCCGTGGCATAAAGGTCGTGGGCAGCCTGTAAGGAGAAGCAGCGACAGCAGTTCGTCCATCATTTTCATAATGGACTTGTACCACGCGTATGCATGCAATGTAAGACACCTTGTTGAACAGTTTGTCCCTCTTTTGAGAGCCATGTAGATCGGAACAATGTTCGTCACGCGTAGTCCTTATTGGAAGGCGCCGACACCACTTTAGTTAAATCCTTCGCTCCCGTTGTTGTGTGTGCGTCTGTGTGTCAGCCCACGACATCTTAGCTTAGGACATCGACATCTGTGTTCCATCGTCACGCATCCCATGCGGCGAGCTCGGCGCGGCGAGTCACTGCCGTGCTCGCGGCCGGGCGCCTCTCCTGCCGCGCTGGCCGTGACACCGTCTCCCCGCCTGCCCGTTGCAGGACCCGGTGCCCGGCCGGCACCGTCTTCTGCCTGGGGTCGGAGCGCTGCGAGCCGGCGGCGCGCGGCTGCCCGCGGCCCGGCCGCGCCGCCTGCCCGCTCGGCTCCGTCTACTGCGTGGCCGAGGGAGGCTGCGTGCCGGGTGCCTGCCGGCCCGAGGTGGGTGGCCCGGCCGTGGCCGCCAGCTCCGGCCCCGCGTGCCGTGCGTGCTGCACATCGGGCCTGTTAGCCCTCCGAGTGCCTTTTTCTCCGCAGGAAGGCGTGCTCCTTGCAGTCAGTGTGTGGCCTGCTGGAACGGAGATGATCATAAGTGGTTTTGACACCCATCATACATTGGTTCCTACGTATTTTGTCTCCCTTGTATTCGGCTTGTTGGACGTAGAGAGCGTTTGGATTTGTCTTCATTTAGCTGAATATGCTGCCCATGTCATGGATCCCTTTTACTGATTGCAACATTACTCGTATTGATGAGCGTTTAGCCACGAAGTACTGCGCAATATGCAATAGAACTGCTTATTACCTCTTACATTAGCATGAGCCGGCCATAATCATGCAGTCTTGCGTCAAATGCACTTGCAATTAATAATTATACTTGCATCGCTCCATTTGCATAATTCGTGTCTTTACAAGTTCATGGTAGTTTCGAGCAAACGAAGTACGCTACTCGTATCAAAGATAGTTTTGATGGGGCTTGAAGGGAATGTTCCGCATTTGAAGATATCGAAGCAAACATGAGATGTAATGAACTCAATTTGGAATACTTTTTAGTACGAAACGCTGCTCTAGACAATGCCATTTCTCTACTTAGTAACCATGCTTCTTAATACGTCATTGTTTGGTTGCGTCATGCAACATTTGTATGACGTTCAGGTGCTGCCGAACCAGCCGGGTTAAATTACCACCCTAGCGCACACTTGTAGTACTTTAATCTCCCGAAAGGTGGCCGTGGCGGTGCTATGGGCGTTTGCTATACGAAATATCATTGTTTGCTCGCGTTTTGGCTTTTTCTCGTACTACTCTTGCATGTTTATCGTGAGTTCAAGGTTTTTACTTGTATTCATACACTCGGGGTTATGACGCCCTTCTTATATTATTCGATTTTATGTCTTATTTCATCAATAACTATCAACCATGTCCAACTTCATATATCATGTAAAACAAAGCGCAATCTGTGATGTTAAGTTGAGTGGTCTGGCAAATACTAATTGGCGTCCAATCGACGTCCATTGCACTTGGCAACCGTGATCTTTGACGCTAGATAGAAAAAGATCGACGGCTATCTCCTTTTCGGGCTTAAATGCCGATGGCCAATGGGATGGTAGGGTTTAAATCACGTTTCTGTGGTATCATGTATGCCTAGTGACCTTGAAATGGTCTGCACGAAATAATCTGCACATATCCGCAGGCATGTAGCTAAAAAACTAGAAGGCTTTAGGTCTTGAGAACATCGGGTTGTCAAGGGCTTGACCCGCACCAAGTGATCTTTAAATGGCTATTTCAGTTCAAAACCCCATGCAAATGTGGAGCACTCCCGTGCCATTAACGCTCTAAGAAAAGTTTATATGTTTATTTTCTCGCTGCTTAGGACTGTAAGTCAAAGTCACATGAACAACTGCCTTATGCACTTAGTTACCTACTACCAGCGACGCAGTCGGGATTTCATCTCGACAGGTGTCAAATTGGGTCAACAGGGGCCCTTCCAGCCAAGGGTAATCGCCGCTCGAAGGCCTTTTTGCGGGAGGGAAGGGATTCGGGGCACCTTTTAAGGTTCCAGACCCCATTGAGATGCATGATGCATCGGAGCCCGTTTTTTTTTGATGTTTTATAAACCTTACAGGCCTCTTACACCGTCAGAAAAAACTCATACCCTCACCCCACGGTGACCCTTGCCACCAGAGGGCGGGGAGTGGGCATGGCTCCAAAGAATATCTTGGCTTCTCCACTACGTGCTACTTTGTACATACCGTGTGTATTTCACAACTAGTTTTAGCCACGCCGCATCCATGCTTGCCGAGTCGTGTTCTGCGCATCCCGCCTGCGTTGCAGACAGTCGGCCTGCTGCAGGCGTCACGGGCGGGCCCACCCCCCGTCCTGCTGAGCCGGTCCGTGCGCTGCCGTCCCCCGGCGCGCCGCGCGCTCACGCCGGCTCCTGTGTGTCCTCTAGGAGCAGCTGGAGGGCGGGCCGCCGCTGCCCGGCCCCGCTGACCTATTGCCTGGCCGCCGACCGGTGCCAGCTCCCGTCGCTGACCTGTCCCGCCGCTGCCTGTGCCGTCCCCCTCTCCCTCTGCCCGCACACCGGCACCTGTCTGTCGGCGCCGCTCTGCGCCGCCGCCGGCGACGGTCCCTGTCGCCGCGGCGAGATCTACTGCATGCAGACCGGCGGCTGCACGGCGCCCGGACGCTGCGCCGACACGGCCGCGTGCCCCCCTGGCCAGATGTTCTGCGTCTCCACCGGCCGCTGCACGCCACGCGCCGCGTGTGCTGAGCCCGGCGGCGGCGAGGGGCCCTGCCCGCCGGGGGAGATGTTCTGCGCCTCCACCGGCCGCTGCACGCCACGCGCCGCGTGTGCTGAGCCCGGCAGCGGCGAGGGGCCCTGCCCTCCGGGGGAGATGTTCTGCGCCTCCACCGGCCGCTGCACGCCACGCGCCGCGTGTGCTGAGCCCGGCAGCGGCGAGGGGCCCTGCCCGCCGGGGGAGATGTTCTGCGCCTCCACCGGCCGCTGCACGTCACACGCCGCTTGCGCCGGCCCCAGCGGCAGCGGGAGGGTCTGCCCACTGGGGGAGACATACTGCATCTCCGCCGGCCACTGCACGCCGCACGCCGAGTGTGCCGAGCCCGGCGGAGGCGAACGGCCCTGCCCGCCGAGGGGAGGTGTACTGCCCGCGGCTGCGGCGCTGCCAGCCGGCCGGGCAGTGCCGGCGGCCGGGGCGCGGTCCGGCCTGCCCGGCCGGTCTGCGGGCTTGCGGACCGGCCGGCGCCTGCCTGCCCGAGGACCGCTGTCGCCTGCCGCTCGTCTGCGCTCCGGGCGAGGTGTACTGCGCGGCGGCGGGAGAGTGCCGGCGCCACGACCAGTGCGGCTCGCCGGCGCCTACCACCGGCTCGCCAGCGCCATCCGCCTGCCCGCCCGGCCTCGTCTACTGCATGAGCACGGGCGAGTGCCAGCCACACGCCGCCTGCCGAGCCAAGCGCGAGATCGTCTGCGGTCTCGGGCTCGTGTTCTGTCTGGCCAACGACAGCTGCGTTCTCGAGGGTACTTGCCTGATCGCTGGAAGTGGGAACGCCGCGGGGAGCGGCGTCACAACAGAGGACGTTACGCACACGACGGTGGAAGGATCAGCTGCGTCCACTGACGGCGCGACGGAAATGCCCAGCACGACGCTGGAAACGACAGGATCGGCGTCAAATTTATCACAGGGAACGACGGATCCGTCCAGCGCGGCCACTGAAGAGGTAACGGGACTGACGGCGATCTTACCACAAATGACAACCGATGGATCACCAACCTCAAAACAAAGTACATCCGATGGATTATCAACATCACCACAGACCACAACTGATGGATTGCCGCTCTCACCACAAACCACAATCGGTGGATCGCAAACCTTGCCTGAAAACACGACAGATGGATCACCGACATCGCCTCAAACCACGACCGATGGGTCACTGACCTCACAGCAAAACACAACCGATGGATCACTGACTTCGCCTCAAACCACGACCGATGAATCACCGACCTCACCACAAATGACAACAGATGGATCACTGACCTCACCTCAAAACACAACCGATGAACAACCGACCTCGCTTCAAAACACAACCGATGGTTCACCGACATTGCCACAGACCACAACCGATGCGTCAATGACCCCACAACAAAACACAACCGATGAATCACCGACCTCGCAACAAAACGTTACCGATGAATCACCGACCTCACCACAGATGACAGCTGAAGAATCACTGAGCTCCCAGCAGACCACAACAGATGGATTACCGATGTTATCACAGATGACAACTGAAGAATCGCTGCCCTCCCAGCAGACCACAACCGATGGATCACCGACCTTACCACAGATGACAACTGAAGAATATATGACCTCCCAGCAGACCACAACCGATGGGTCATCGACCTTACCGCAGATGACAGCTGAAGAATCTATGACCTCCCAGCAGACCACAACCGATGGGTCACCAGCCTTGTCATCACAGACCACAACCGATGGATTACCGACTTCAAGTTCCACCGACAGCTTTTCGAGCTCAGTTGGAGCCAATAGTCTGGTTCCGGGCGATGAAGAAACAACGACCACCGATCTGACCTCAGCTGCTGTGACTGCCACCACTGACCGAGACGCCGCAACAGCAACATCCGGCGCAGGGACCTCAACGTGGCACAGCCAAGTAACGACCTCGACACCCACAGCAGTAACATCTGACGTCACCCAAGTGAGCACGGACGAGACCTGGGCATCGCAGGAAACCACTTCCGGCACGGACGAGACCAGGACATCGCAGGAAACCACTTCCGGCACGGACGAGACCAGGACATCGCAGGAAACCACTGCCAGCACGGACGAGACCTGGGCATCGCAGGAAACCACTTCCGGCACGGACGAGACCTGGGCATCGCAGGAAACCACTTCCGGCACGGACGAGACCTGGACATCGCAGGAAACCACTTCCGGCACAGACGAGACCAGGACATCGCAGGAAACCACTTCCGGCACGGACGAGACCAGGACATCGCAGGAAACCACTGCCAGCACGGACGAGACCTGGACATCGCAGGAAACCACTTCCGGCACGGACGAGACCAGGACATCGCAGGAAACCACTGCCAGCACGGACGAGACCTGGACATCGCATGAAACCACTGCCAGCACGGACGAGACCTGGACATCGCAGGAAACCACTGCCAGCACAGACGAGACCTGGATATCGCAGGAAACCACTTCCGGCACGGACGAGACCTGGGCATCGCAGGAGACCACTGCCAGCACAGACGAGACCTGGACATGGCAGGAAACCACTTCGGCACTGACGAGACCTGGACATCGCAGGAAACCACTGCCAGCACGAACACCTTCGCTTGGCACCGAAGTGAGCCCTTGGTCCTCCTCACCCGAGCTGACCTCCGCCGAGACCCCCGTAACCCTGAACGCCTCCGGCTCCGAGCCTTCCACCACGGCGCAGGTAACGTACCAGCAGGGCGCGGCCGTCGACCCGTGCGCGCCTCCTCCGCCTCCGGAGCGCCACCCGCCACCAGACCTGCCGACACCGTCTGAATTTTTGCGCGCGCGCGCTTGCGGGGCCCGTTTTGGGACGGCGGATCGCTGAGGCACACCGTGCACAGCCGGTCCTGGTGCGACCGCCGGCCACGCTGCCGGCGGTGGCGGCGCCGCGCGACGCAGCCGCCGCGCGCCGCCGACGCTGACGCCCGCTGCATGCGGCCCGGAGCGCGGCCACGACAGCCGGCGACGTTTTGGCCGGACAATTTTTACTCGTTGCCATTTTTCAGAAGGCGTGTGCTTGTTTTTCTGTCTCGGAGCGATGATGGCAGAGCACAGCGGAGTTTGCCTGCGAGCCGTGCACACAGTGGCACAGATGCGAGCGCGTGGTCACTTTTTGATCGGTGTTCTTCTGTTAATGGTGGTGGTTGGGGCACTCGGGTGATGAACACCCGAGAGCATGTCACGTGCGAGGGCACTGGCACGAGGTGGTTGTCGAGCACTGTGTGCCGGCTAGTGTGCGACTGTTGCGGTGCCCACTCTCGGCCGGTCCGGTTCGTGGGCGGTCCATGTTGAGGTGCTATGCAACCGGCCGCACGGTAACAAAATACGCTTGCTAGGCTAGGTGTTGGCTTGCATACGAGGACCACACTCACCTCATCACGGCAGACTATGATCCTGTGTCTATAAGGAAATGATTTAGTATGTTATGCGTCCATGGTCAGGTTCGGCGTCTGTGACTCATGCCTCATAGCGCATAGAGTCGCGATTACGCGGTTTCAGGTCGGCGAAAATTTCACCACATGACTTGTTTTCCAGACCTCAACGGTACCAGGGCCTCTAGATAGCTGTGAAATCGACCAAGTGTAAGTGCTTTATTTGAAATACCGCAACCACCTTGCGCCAAAATGTTTTAAAGCATTCAACGTGATCTGACGCCTAACGTTGACAGTTCTGCAGTTGCCACTCACAAGTCGTCCTAAATTTTTGGTCTTACTATCGTCAGGCGGCCATTGTCCTTTCACTTCAATTAATTTAATTTTGAAATCATGACGGCAGGCGTGTGGGCGGCAACGTAGTAAAGCTTATTTACAGTCCACGGCCTTAAACAGCCTGCTTTTGTCGCGCTGGCGGGAGCGTCCGTTGGTCCAATTCTTCCCCGCTGACGAAAACCAATAGCACGAGCCTCATAATCCCCTTCCCCCCCCCCCCCCGACCGATCCACTTCTTCCACGTCCCGGACCAAAACCACTAGCACGAGCCTTCAAAGTCCCCCTACCAATCCACTTCTTTCTGACCCCGGACCAATACTCCTAGCACGCCCCCCCCCCCCCCCCCCCTGCACCGATTGTCGCTGCCGACTGACGGTCCGCGGTGGCTGTGCTTCAGCTTCTGCGTCATCACCGACCGCTGCCAGTCGCCCGCCGACGCCTGCGGCGTCGTCTGCCCGCCCAGTCACGTGGTCTGCTCCGGCCAGGAGACGTGCGTGACCTACCGTGCCTGTCAGGGTGAGCATCACACGGCCCCGTGGTCACGTGGGTCAGCCGTCTCGTGCCGGGGCTGTTCGAAGGAATGCCGCCCAGTCACGTGCTATATTGCTGTTTGAGGACGTGTCGTTTCGGGGGCACTATACGAGCACAAAGCTGTCGGTGATTGCTTCCACGTTAGATCTTGGTACAACACCAACGTCGAAAGAACACCCGAAGCGCAGGTAGTTTTCGAAAATTCATGCCGTTCAGCATGAGATGATTGCGTGCAAAGGAAAATGTTTTTATCCGCGACATCGAATCCATACTGCCATCGGGCCTATCGGCCTCTTCGCCCAGTTGTATGAACGGTTGTCGATTTCTCACAATGGGCAGAGTTGTGAGTCGCCTAAGGAAACGGGTCCAAAAAATTATCGGATTTCGTCCGTTGATGTTCTGGTCATCTATCTATATATATTATGTATATGCATATATGGATCATATACATATATTTATGAATACATGCATATATACTCACACACACACACACACACACACATACACACACACACACACACACACACACACACACACACACACACACACACACACACACACACACACACACACACACACACACACACACACACACACACACACACACACACACACACACACACACACACACACACACACACATATATATATATATATATATATATATATATATATATATATATATATATATATAAAATTCTGGAAAGCAAAATGTGGACATCGTTCACTGTAATATGTTCAAAAAATTTGTGTGGTCCGTTTGCAAACGTATTCACAAGAATAGAATGTCCACAGTATGTGTAGCTAACACAACCCGTTCAGACGCAGGTTCTAGGCGCACCGAAGTTTAATCGACAATGCATATGCATTTCAGTTAATGTAAAACAAAACATCAACACTACCTTGCCGATCGTTTCAGAAAATCGTCCCCAACCTTTTCCCCAAATCCACATAAGGTTATGTTTTCCTGTTGAAAATGCATTTTCCCAGCTCACAATACGAGCCTGCCGCACTTCTGGCGGCCCCCGTTCCAAGCTGCTGCACCTCTGAACGGACAGTGACTCTCACTCGCTGTGCTTCGAACGTGCGACAAATGAACACCCTTCGTGTGAATGTCACGCGCAAAGCAGGTCGATTGTTACGCCTTGCAACGATTGTAATGCTGAGCTCACTGTTGGCGGGGCCAAATTGCGCATTTGGGTGGAGATGACGGATGGCGGGCGGCAGGCGACGGGTGACGGAGTGGGGGGTAGTAGTCCACCCAAAATAATGTAACTGGAAACCCGTGGAGGTATGCGTGATGTCACCATGTTGTCATATTTCTTTAACCGGCGATGTTTGCTAACTTAATGAGATCTGCGGGGAATCTATTGATTCACGACTCTCGGGCATTGCAAATTTACTGGCTGCTGTTGGTTAACGTCAGCGAAGTGCAAATGTCAAGCCTGGTTGAGGCACTGCGCCGTTGGCTGACCTCGGCGAGGTCAGCAGGGGTGTGTTGGGTTGCCGTGCAACACTTTGGGCTTTATCCAGATGTGTTGGTAGAGCTTTTTGAAGCAGATTGGCCTGGTATGGCAGTGTACCGTGTGGGAGTGCCTTGCGAAAAGCCGATGATACACTGGCTAGCCGTGTGGGCTGGTGCAAGGCACACACTGGTGATCAGTATGCCACCCTGGCCTTATCTGGAATGCAGACAACTGACCGGCGTGTGGTCTGTGCAGACCCGTCGGATACGGGTGTGGTGTGGACCCTGCCAGAGCCGGTGGAGTGTGTTACTGACCGGCGTGTGGTCTGTGCAGACCCGTCGGATACGGGTCTGGTGTGGACCCCCTGCCAGAGCCGGTGGAGTGTGTTACTGACCGGCGTGTGGTCTGTGCAGACCCGTCGGACACGGGTCTGGTGTGGACCCTACCTGAGCCGGTGCGGTATGTTACTGACCGGCGTGTGGTCTGCTCAGACCCGTCGGACACAGGTCTGGTGTGGACCCTACCTGAGCCGGTGCGGTATGTTACTGACCGGCGTGTGGTCTGCGCAGACCCGTTGGACACAGGTCTGGCATGGACCCTGCCTGAGCCGGTCGTCCAGGGGTCAAGCGAACTGCCGCCGGCCGTCTCACTCAACTCCATCGTCCAGTCAGCCGCGGCGGAGGTCAGGACACCCCTGACCATCGGCGCACTCGTTCACCACGCCAGCCGACTCAGCGTCCCGTCACCGTGCTCTCCCTCATCAACACATCCCGTCCGCGTTTTGCTGGCCGGTGCTTTTGCTGCATTTCACCCTACCGACCCAACCGTTCACGGCCTGTCACTCAGCAAGTGCACACATTTGTTATTGCACTTCACCAGCAAAAGAATGATAAACGCAGGTGGTCTTCTGTGCGACACCCGTTTGCTGTTCGCTGTTATGCGCATTTTAACCATATTGTACCATATTGTGACTTGTACACTGAGTGTAGCAATCACACTCAGTGGTGTAATCGTTAACTCTAGCGCACTCACCAGTACGCTTGGCCTCCCTACTGCACCTGCCAGCGTGTCGCGCATTGGCTCACCGGCCAGGAGCGGGACTGACATTCTGAAGCTATTGAGCGCGTCTCACAGCCAGCCTCGGCTCGGCACAGAGCCCGCCGACCCGGCGCGTCCTGCTCGGTGCTAGGCCCGCCAGCACCTGGCATGGCGCACCCTCGCGCCGCGGCCGGGCTCACCACGCGCTGAAGGCGCGCCCCGCCCACCCGGCAGACTCTTCTACTGACCGGTAACGCGCCCAGCTTCCTGGTGGAGACGGCCGACGAGGGCTGGGAGGCAGCTGACGCGGCCGACGGCACCTTCAGCCCACTCACCGTCGGCAGCCGCTTGCGCTTCAGCCAGTTTGTGCAGTTCCAGCCGGCCGATACTGGCTTCGGCTTGCGCCAGCTGAACCTCAGCCAGGACGTCGGTGGGTGCCTGGACGACGTCGAGAGGCGTAGTTTGGGGGCTGCAGAACCACCTGCTGTCTTGGTGTGGAGAACCACTCCCTTGGAACAGGTCTCGAACTGTCCTTGCCGTTGGTGAATTCACTGAGGTGCAGGGATTTTGATCCACTGTTCCGCTTATTGGACGCAAAATGACCTTGCCAGCCAAAACGCCGTACTCCGCATGCTTAGGTCCATTACCTGGTTACTATTCCGTCTAACTTGCTTGGCCAGGAGAGACTCTTCGCACTGATCCTGCTTCAGTTAAGAGCATGCTGTTGATGATGTCCTTTTGCGTGCTTTCCGAATTTCACCAGCCATAACTGTCTGTCCCCACAAAATTTAATGACTGTGGTGCACAGTGAGGTGGCCCCTCCCACCGCTCACCCCGCTGTGTACTGCTCCCCACAGACGAGGAGACGCGCTTGCGTGCCCATTGACATAGTCCCCCTATCGCTCACCCCCGCTGTGCACCACCGACCGCAGACAAGGAGACGAGCCTGCAGTACACGGTGCTGCAGTACGTGCTGCCCCGGGCCGGGCTGGTCAGCATCAACACCTCGGAGTTGACCCTCGCCGAGGACGAGCCGGGCACGCTGCTCATCTCAGAGCTCGTCTCCGTGGGCCGCGCCGCCTCGGCCGCCGACCTCGGTCAGTCCTGCTCGGCCGGCCGCAGACCCCGTCCCGGCACATTGATGTCTGCAGTGTTGTCTTACACAGTGTATTACGCGTCATGGACGACGCCTGTCGGAGCGCGGCGCGTGCCATGCTATCGGTGCTACCTGCATGGTGCATTATTACACGTGGTAATAGATGGGTAGTAGCATCATCATCCAGCATGCATGCTTGACTTCCAGAATGTATGCACAGTACGCTTGACATCGCCCAACATGACATGGCTGTCGCAGTATCGCCTCCGCGCTGCGAAATGTGACGCACACCCTGGCACAGATGTGCCACCCGACGTGTGCCGTGCCACCCAGCGCCAGGCCCGGCTGTCCCCTGCCCGGTGCCGCCTGGTGTCGTGCCGTCGTCCGGCGCCGGTCCGATGCGGTTTGAGACGCGTGATGCGACGCTTGTCTGCGCATTATGCCACGACTCTCACTTCCTTCCTTCACGTGTGCGATCTCATTTCCCGAGTTCGCCTTTACCCATAGGGCTATGACCACAGCCCGCTCGCTACCCAGTCTTTGCCAGTTGTACCAACCCGTCTCCCGCCCGTTTAATTTTTTCCGGCGTTAGGGACGCTGCTAGAGCCTTAGCAAGGGGGGGGGGGGGGGGGCACCGGGGTGGCGCAGAGCACCTGCTGATGAAAGAGCATGGACAGCCAAATTATCTGTAAGTTTCCCAGAATCTGTACCCAACCCGCTACCCATTTAGTACGGCCAATCACTCCACTGGTTGAGTCCCCTACTGCTGACCGGGTCAGGCGCCCAGTGACCGCTGACCCTCCCGCGCAGAGGAGCTGAGCTGGCAGCTGCAGTCGCCGGCGCTGGACCGCGCCGCGCTCGGGTACCAGCAGCTGCGCTCGCTGTACCAGCCGACGGTACCGGTACGGGTGCGGTACGCCGGAGAGATTCAGCGCCGCTCTGAGGTGCCAGGCCAGACGCTCTTCTCGTACACCGGCGACGAGGACAGGTGAGTGCGCCGCTCGGAAGCGGGAGGAGCGCACGCTATGTTCGGTCTTCTGGGTTGGTGTCTGAGTCACTGTTGCCTCTGGCGTGGCGAGGAAGTACTGTTTTCACCGCCATACAAGCTGGTTGCGTAGGGTTGTTGTTGTTGATGTTTAAGGGCGCGTCAACTGCCTAGGTTATTGTTGCCCTGCAGGCGTTACAGGCCTTGCGTATGTTCATGTTTTGACTGTAATAAACTATGATTTTCGTGATACGACGGTTGCGTTCGTCCTGTATTTTTCAGCTGGGAAGAGCACTCCTTGGAGCTTACTCCACTGGAACTACAATTGCCACTTGACCCCGAGTCACCTGAACAACCTCAGGTCATGTTCATACCCAAACCCAACTTCCAAGGCCCGGTGCGATTCATATTTGAGGTTAGCCTGGCGGGGAGCAAAACGGAGGCGGAGGTTCTTCTGATGGTAAGTGTGCGCCCATGGTGGTTGAGTCAAGGTAGCTCACGGAAGAGTGCGCCTCTCTTCTGGGAAATAGGACATGTTTACCCACATCAATATATCACATACAAAATATTTGTTTTGCTCACGCGTCTTACACCATCTTGTGTGATCTGGCTGACAGACCTATGGGGTGAAATATGCATTCAGTAATTTTAGGCGCATTCAGATTTGGGCATTTGTTGCAATTGCTTCATGCCAGATAACGAAGAAATCCAATCTGATGAAACGCTCTCGCGGCTGTACATGAGATAATCTGCTCATACCGCCGGGTACTCTAGCGGTGACGCACCGCGTCCCCCGCGCCCACCCGGCGTGGCGCTGACGCCGGCTGGTGGGCGGCTGTGTCACCAGGTGCGCGAGGCGAACGACGCCCCACTGCTGCGGGCCGGCACGCCGCCGCCGGCGCCGCTGCTGCTGCCGCTCGGCGCCAGCTCGCTGACGGTGACGGCGGCGCAGCTGGTGGGCGGCGCGTTCGCCGACCCAGACGGCCGGGCGACGGGCGCGGCCGTGCTGCGCGCCGTCGGCCCGCCGCTCGGCCGCTGGGACTGGGCACCGGCCGGTGCCGACCAGTGGAGCGCGCTGGAGATGACGGCCGCGCTTGAGCGGCCGCCGCCGGACTGCGGCCGAATGCCGGCCGATGCCGCCATGGCCGAGCTGGCGCGCCGGCTCGCCGGGGCGCGGGCTGTGCGGCGAACGGCACGGGAGTCGAACCGGGGCAGGGCGTGTCCGTGACGCCGCTCTACCTGGCGCCCGGCGACCGGCTCCGGTTCACCGCAGAGAACGCTAGCCAAGCGTGGTCCGAGCGGGAGGCGGAGGAGGGCGCCGGCCTGGTGCTGGCCGCCTGGGACCAGACAGCCTCCCCGGAGCTGCTCACCGTACCTGGCTGTCAACCGGTGAGCTTTCCAGCCTGAGGCGTGTGAACGTGACGGTGTGTGTTACCATCAGACCTGCTATGGCTCCCAGCCTGAGGTGTGTTACTGAAGGTGGATGGTACCATCAGACCTACTATGGCTCCCAGCCTGAGGTGCGTTTACGTGACGGTGTGTGTTCCCATCAGACCTGCTGTGGCACCCAGCTCGAGGTGTGTGTACTTGACGGTGTGTGTTACCATCAGACCCGCTATGGCTCCCAGCCTGGGGTGTGTCATTGACGGTGGATGCTACCGGCAGATGTGCGGCGGCTCCTCCAGCCTGAGCAAGGTCCAGCTGCGCGTGCTGGTGCTCCGCTCCGACTGCACCGACCTGCCCGTGCTGAGCGCCGCTGCCGCCGCCTCCTGGGACGTTTGCGGCCGCTGCGGCGGCACCGGCGAGTCCTGCATCGACTGTAACCAGGACGTCAACGGCAGTGAGTGGGCCGGCGGCGGCGCCACGCCGAAGCAGGACCGCCTCAAAAGCGGCGGATTGTTAATTGTTAGCGAGCTGCAGTTGGTGGGTAATTCAGGGACAGCTTGCGAGGCAGATGGTGTGCAATTGGATGGCATGCAGCTGGCCTGCGAGGCCGACCAATGTCGCGATGAATTGTACAGGACGATGGAAAAAGGCACCGGAAGGGACTTCATGTGTGGAGAGTACACCTCGATGCTCTTGGACAAGGGCGCACGCATAAATTCGCAATAGGTGGGAGATACAACTGGGGGCATTTACTGAAAACTCGGGGCAGCACGTCACAGGCGCGCAAATTCCTTGCATGACTAAGATAAAGTGACACGCTCTCAATTTGTTTGGTTTTAACCGGTCTACCTCTAATTTTTTATGGCTAACGTGTATTCATGCACCTACTGACACACGCAGTACATGTGTCGAGGGGAGGAACTGGAGGCCCCAGTGCGTGCACGCATCTACTCTTTGGATTCAACTGCGCCGTAAGCACACCTTAAATGGACAGCTTGGACCGTGTGTGCCATCAGTAGGCTGCTTGGTGCCCCCAGAAGGCGCGGTCAGTGACGGCTGTAACCACCATCGCGTCACAATTCAGACGTCCCACGCCACTCGCGGCTCCCCACTGCCGCGTCCGGGCCGCTGTTGGTAGCCGTCAGTAACCGCTGGACTGCCTTTGGTGTCGGGCCGTCGCGTGTCCGTCGCCATTAACTCCTCACACCCGGGCAGCATCGATCCTTCGCCGCATGCCGCCGTGTGCGCCGAGACGCCGGAGGCGTCGGTCGATGGACGTGTTTATGGCTGTCTGACGTGAATGTGGCGCTCGCGTCCTTTCTCGTCGAGTTGTGTGGCGTACCGACGCTCGCCGGCTAGATTGTAGTGATGTTGCCATGCACCCATGCATTTTATTTTCCCGGATTAGTTTGAAATGTCGCTGCCGTTCGAATTACGATTCAGTGCGAAATCTCATACGGCATGCCTGCGGACATACACAATTAATCGAGTTGGTCTGCAGGTGGTCATTTAGCTAATCTTTGCCTCGATATTCAATAACCCCATCTAAGCTCAAAGACAGTGGAAGGTTTAGGCTGCGAAAGCCCTCAGGCACACGATGGCAGCGCGAGGTTGTCCACTAGTCAAGCTCCCAGTCACTAAATTCTATATATCCACTATCTCAGTTCGGGGTATGCCACACCAACTCAAACTGGGACCATTACAAATGGCGCGCTTTGCGTTCCCATCCTAGCTGCAGTCGGCCACTACCTCAGTCGCCGACTGACGTCTGCTCTCCCCCGCCCCGCCAGCTGCGTTCACAGACTGCGAGCGGTGCGTAGGCGGCGCCACTGGTTTGGAGCCGGAGCGGGACTGCGCCCACCAGTGCATGGAAAGCGAGCTTGTGCGCATCCAGGACGCAGAAGTGTGCGCCCTGAAGGAGCCGGCCGCTGTGGCGCCTTGCGACAAACGTCAGCGGCTCCGGCGCCTACTACAACCCGTGAGCAAGGGGTGGGGCGCGCCGCGACGCCCAGCGGCACTGCTGGGCGCGCAGCTACGCAACCGTACAGCGTGATGTGTGTGTGTGTGCGTGTGCGTGTGCGTGTGCGTGTGCGTTTGCGTGTGTGTGTGTGTGTGTGTGTGTGTGTGTGTGTGTGTGTGTGTGTGTGTGTGTGTGTGTGTGTGTGGTGTGTGTGTGTGTGTGTGTGGTGTGTGTGTGTGTGTGTGTGTGTGTGTGTGTGTGTGTGGTGTGTGTGTGTGTGTGTGTGTGTTGTGTGTGTGTGTGTGTGTGTGTGTGTGTGTGTGTGTGTGTGTGTGTGTGTGTGTGTGTGTGTGTGTGTGTGTGTGTGTGTGTGTGTGTGGGTGTGTGTGTGTGTGTGTGTGTGTGTGTGTGTGTGTGTGTGTGTGTGTGTGTGTGTGTGTGTGTGTGTGTGTGGTGCGTGATCGTGGTGGCGTAACGTGCAGGGTTATTGCGGACTGTTTGCCCAGTCCGGGGTATCGGTGGATCGTTTTGTTGTTTTTTGTTGTTGTTATTTTTTGCTGAGCTTCAGCCAGATCTGCTAGAAGATGTGCTCAGCGTGTAGCATCGGCCTTAAGCATCGCATCATAAGGTGTCAAAACGACTTTCCCGGCCACTCACACTTCACATTCGCTCAACATTGCTACGGTCAGCCCTTCAGCATGCGATCACTCCATGCCAGCATAATTCCGTACCGTACTGTCCCGTGTTGCCTCCGATGCTTGCCTTCCTCTTTCATCTCTGACACTGCCATGGCGTCCCGCTGTCTCTATCCCTGACGCCGCCATGACGTTCTTCTGTTCTCGTTTCTGGCGCCACCATGGCTCCCCTCTGTTCCCTGTCTCTGGCTTTGCAATGCCGTCCCTCTGTTTCCGTCTCTGACACCACCATGCCGTCCCTCTGCTCCCGTCTCTGACGCCACCATACCGTCCCTCTGTTCCCGTCTCTGACGCCGCCGTGGTGTCCCTCTGTCCCAGTCTCTGACACTGTCATCGCGTCCTTCTGTTCCCGTCCCTGACGCCGCCATCGCTTCCTTCCGCTCCTCGCCTCCGACACTGTCATACCGTCCCCCTGCTCCCGCGTCCGCCACCGCCACGGCGTACGTCTCCCGCGTGCTCTGACGCCGCCGCGTCGGCGCTCAGGTGCGGCCACTGCGTGCTGGGCACCACGGGCCTGACGGCCACCCACGGCCGCGACTCGTGCGGCCGCTGCTCGGCGACCAGCGGCGAGGCGCAGCCGCTGGTCGCCTGCCCGGAGGAGGCGTGCGACGGCGAGCTGTCCAGCCCGCGCCGGCTCGACCGCTGTGGCCAGTGTCGCCACCCAGCCGCCGCCAACTGGGGTGGTGAGTGGGGCCGACCGCGCGCGGCGCGCGGAGCCGGGCGGGCGCCGGAGCGTCGGCGCGTGGCCCGTGCATGGGCGTCTGGGCAGGGGCCAGGGAGCGGCAGGTTATGTCGCGCCATCTGGCGATTTCGTTGTGTTCAGCTCAGCGCGTGCAGCACTCAGATTGGCTCGAATATTATGGATTTTTTTCACTTCGGTAGCATGCTTTAACTCTGGTGAATGCATATTTGTACACTCAGGCGGCTTGGTCTTCACACCTAAACTAACTCCTTGTAGGTGATACAATCGGATGATAACTTAATGGCATTGTTAAGTGATCACCTATGAGGCTCTGCCAGCTGTATGACCCTAGATCATTCGCCAGATAACATTAAACTCAGCCATTTCTCCATCAGCAAGCCCGGAGAGGTCTTCTCGACTATGTGATCCCTCTGGCCCATCCCCGCGTGACGCATCCTAGCACTTCACACCGCTCCGACTGCCGCAGCCTGCAAGCGGTTCGGTCGGCCGCCTGCGGTGGTGGACGTGGCGCGACTGGGAACCAACGAGCCCGCCACCGTCGCCCTGCCGCTGCGCAACCAGACGAAACCCTGGGACCCCACGCTGGTCAGCTGTTTCGTGCAGAACGCCGGCGGCGAGAAGACGGACGTGAGTGGGGACGGTGCGCCGCGGCTCGCTGCGTCGGTCAAGGGTCTGTAACCCATGCCAGTGACCGTGTGCGCACTCAGACATGGCGTTTATCGTCAGCGAGACACGAAATCAAACTGATCGGCTGCGTCTAATGGAATGGGTTCAACGTGCTCAGCCACCCGCCTGGATTCTACGGAATGAGAGCAGCATATGAAAGTCTCATGCAAAATGCATCAGCTGTCCCGGAGGCTTTGTAGAAATTCACATTTTACATCTCACACAGTCATTCCACATTTCATGTGGTAGGGTTCTTATGGTACAATTGTTCAGTAGGACGGAGAGAGACTGTTATTTATGAGCAGTTTGTCAGCGCGGGGCAGCGTGGTTGATGCTGACATCAGCAGAGACTCTCTCCGTGCTCGTTCACACTCCGGCATTAGCCCGCTGTCACTGCGCTCAGCCCTTCTCCATGCCGCCTGATGAGGACATCGCACGCCCCACCTGCAGGTCTCCACCTTCCCGCACGAGACGCTGATCATCACGGCGGCCGGCACGAGGCGCAGGAAGTGGGCCGTCGGCGCGAACTTGCCGGCCGACCTGCCACTCGGCTCGTACGACTTCGGCTGCGGCGACATGACGTCGGCCGACAGCTTCATGCTGGTGAACAGCAGCAGTCTGGGCATCGCCTCTCTGGAGCCGCCCGAGGGCACGCTGGGGGAGGAGAACATGGTATGTCACGACGGCTGCGCGCTAGATCCGTGCCGGACACGCCGCGTGTGGGGTCGTCTGACTGACTTCGCCTGTCTGACTGTCGCTTGTTAGTTGGCTGTTTTCCTGGGGTAAATCCGGCCCGCAACGGCGCTTACTTCCAACGCCGCCGCATTGGTCGGCCCTTCTTCGGAGTTGTGCCTGCTCCCGTCTCGTCTGCGCCGCGTTCCCCGCCCCTCTTGCCCTCCCCGGATGTGGCGCGCGCCGTGTGCAGCTCTGCCCTAAATGACTGGCGCAGTCGAAGCGCCCTCAAAACCACACATCAGTCGGCTACAGCTGGGCCCCTTCGCAGGTGAGCGTGACGCTGTCGACGACGCCGACGGCCGGGGCGCCGGTGCTGCTGGGCCTGCTGTCGCCGGCCGGCGTGCGGCCGTCGTACACTGCCGTGCTGCTGCGGAAGCCGGCCGCCGGCACCAGCCGCAAGGGCGGCGCCGGTTCACTGCAGGCCTGGCTGCCGCGACTGCCGGTTGCCGGCCGCTACCGCGCCGTCGTCGCCTACGACGAGGCCGGCGTGCAGGCGCTGCTCAAGCAGGGGTCAGTGTCGTGTCCAGCCAGGGGTCAGCCCAGGACTCAGGCGATGAGGCATGACGGCTGCTGGGCTGAAGCAACGAGCCATGTGCATGGTGATGTCTTTGAATTGCAGCGTGAGGTATACCCGTGCCTTTGTATTAGGTCTGTCGTTAAGACCCACTGAAATTGGATGGCGTGTTTGAACCATTCGGTTCAGCCAGCCTAAATAAGGTATTAACCCGACTGTGGCCACGATCCCTGTTAAGCAGGCTGGTGCATTCCTCACCAGTGGACCTGTCATGCTGCTGGCTACTTATGCCAATCCCCAGGTAATCCGAGCGTCAGCTGACCCGGGCCGCTCGGCAGGTGCGGGGAGACGTGCGCGCCGATCCACCTGGACATGGTGTCGACCGCGCCGCGCATAGTGGGCGCCGGCTTCACGGCTCCGTACCGCCACATCAGCGTCGAGTTTGACCGGCCCGTGACCTCTGAGCAGAGCTGCGAGCAGCTGCTGGACGCGGACAGCCTGCAGCAGCTCGGCGACGCCGGTGAGTGGCGGCTGGGCGCCCGCGACGTCTCCCGCGGCCCTGCAGCAGGAGACGTCTCGTTTGCGCTCAGTCAACGCTGACGCTGAGCTCGTCGGCCAGTGATATCGCCTCTATGGGTTTCCTTTGGCGTAAAGAAGATATTCTAAGAAGGCAACAGGTGGATATGCTAGGTATATCCGAGTTCGGATCAAGTTTGTCTTTCGATCACCCAACTTGCGAAACGACCCAGCTGCCATTGAACGCATCTGTACCCAGGCCCTGCCATACCGCTCCTGGGGGTTCCACCGCCATTCATGCCCGCCGTGAGCTGTGTGCGCCTTGGCCCACAGCCTGCCAGGTGCGCGGCAGTCAGCTGCTGATCCGGCCCGGCGACAAGATGGCGCCGCCCAGCGGGCCGCTGACCCTGACGCTGGCCGGGGGCAGCGCCATTGTCAGCCGCGGCGCTGGCAGCGGGCCGCTGGCGGGGCCGCGCCACCGGCTCTGTCAGCGTCAGCTTCGCCGAGGCCATGGCGGTACGAATGCGGCGTAGGCTCGGTCGCCGACGGGCATCGAAGCGGCCGGACAACGAAGCAGCAACAAATGAATTTCAACCCCGTTATTGGGAGCAGTGATCTCGGTTAGGGCGAAGCGCGCGGTATTCGGCGTCATGTCGTACGAGGTAGATGTTTGGTCTCCACCGCAGGATTAAAGATCTGCACCGTAAGGGATTGACATTGACTGTTTGTTACGCTGTTATAGGGCATCGGGGGTGCTTACCGGGACAGCATATTCTGCACGTTCTCACCACAGTGGCGGCGATGTAGGGAGAGGGCTGTAGCGAGCATGGCTGTGCCATTCAAGTAATGCTGCGACAGACGTTGCCGGAGGGCTGTCGGTGGCGCGCTCTGAGGCGGGGTAGGTCAGGCCAGGTCACTCCCTGCCGCGGGTACGACCGCTGTCGTGACCCACCAGGCAGCCGGTGGCGTACCCTGCGCCTGAGCCGGGGCCGGTCAGCTCAGGCCGCCTCCCTTCCGCAGGTACCCCCGGAGTTCTCCCTGGTCGGACCGTCGGTGGTGTGCTCGGCGGCCGACTCACGCGCCACCTACCGGGCGCTGACGCTGGAGGGCCTCGGCCGGGCGCTCACCTACACGTGGAACGTGACGCTGGAGGCGGACACCACGCTGACGCAGCGCACCACGCTGGAAGTCTGGCAGGGCATCAACGAGGTCATGGAACGCGATGCGACGTACGGGACGGGAGCCGTGTCCGTCTACACCATCAACACGTCACCGGTCAGAGGCGCGCGCGCATGTAGCCGTACAGCCGGATGCCCGCTGCAGCCAACTGCTTCCCTAACTTCGAGTGTGTGGTGGCAGCTGGTGGCAGCGTATATATATATATATATATATATATATATATATATATATATATATATATATATCTAAACTTGTTGCTCCTATAGAAGCGATAGAAATAGCATAATGTTGATAGAAAAATGAAAGTATGTTTGGTACATTTGGTAAGATAACAGCCCATGTAGATAATAAGCTCTACCGAAGTCCATACTATATGACATCTGCTCACATTTAACCCTTTGACCCTGTGCATGCCATCGTTGGCCATGCTGAACACCAGTGTTGTTCGTGGTAACAACGCGATCACGAACGCCACGGCCCAGCAAACAACGCACTCACAGCCTGCGCTGCCCCGTCGCCACAGCTCATCGCCGACGACTTCAACTACCAGGTGTTTGCGAAGGCGCAGACGTGGGTGGGCGGCTCGCGCAGCCTGTTCCGCGCGTTCCGCGTGGTCAGCTCGGGCCTCTCGGTGGCCGTGTCGGCCCTGACCGCATCGCTGCCGGCGGCCTCTACACCTACCGAGCGACGGCCGTCCTCTGCGGCGGCGAGCAGCGCGGCTTCAAGGTGGGCGACGGCGAGCGCCGGCCGCTCGGGCCGCTGGGTGGGGTCCTCTGGACGGCTGGCTGACGCGGGGACGCTGATAATGTGATGAAGCTAAGCCGATGGCGGGCGCCGACCGCTCGCACCGCTGGTGGGGTCTCTGGACGGCTGGCTGACACAGGGACGCTGATAATGTGATGAATCTAAGCCGACGGCGAGCGCCGGCCGCTCGCACCGCTGGTGGGGTCTCTGGACGGCTGGCTGACACGGGGAAGCTGATAATGTGATGAAGCTAAGCCGATGGCGGGCGCCGACCGCTCGCACCGATGGTGGGGTCTCTGGCCGGCGGGCTGACACGGGGACGCTGATAATGTGATGAAGCTAAGCTGACGCTCCCGTGGGGTGTGCAAAACTAAGGCGCTTATGGTGCGCGGAATTTGTTGTGTCATGATACTGCTGGTCGATAAGTATAAGAGATAAAAAACCGCTATAATGCGTCATCCAGCCGTTATGGGTTTTGTCAAATTTGTTTGCTTATATAATCGTATACCTAGACATTTGCTCTCTAAGCCTAGCAGCACAGCATTTGTCTTTTATCAGCAAGTGACCTGATATGACATGCGGTCATTTCCACTCGACTTCACCGCACAACCAGCCATTTCCGTCTGCGCGTCGACAGGCTGTGCCCGGTCCGGCGGCCGCCTGTCCCAGAATACGTGACGCCGGCCGGGAATGGCAACACCCATGTGCCTCCTAATACCCGATGTGTGTGTGTGTGTGTGTGTGTGTGTGTGTGTGTGTGTGTGTGTGTGTGTGTGTGTGTGTGTGTGTGTGTGTGTGTATGTGTGTGTATGTGTGTGTGTGTGTGTGTGTGTGTGTGTGTGTGTGTGTGTGTGTGTGTGTGTGGTGTGTGTGTGTGTGTGTGTGTGTGTGTGTGTGTGTGTGTGTGTGTGTGGTGTGTGTGTGTGTGTGTGTGTGTGTGTGTGTGTGTGTGTGTGTGTGTGTGTGTGTGTGTGTGTGTGTGTGTGTGTGTGCGTGTGTGTGCGTCTGCCCCGCCACGCTAGGGTGCCCGTGTCGTGCTTATTATTTATCGTGTGGGCTTTTGCCGCGGTACGCCTGAGCCTAGCTGGATCGTCTGCAACGTTTTCTCACTCAGTGTGTGCCATTCTACCCCAGCACGCCCAGGTTCCACCGTTTCCGACTCTCAGTGTGTGTCTGCTGCCCCAGAACGCCTGGATCCAGTCGTTTTTGACGCTGAGCGTGTGCCTGCTGCCCCAGTACGCTCGACCCCGTCGTTTCTTACTCTCGGCGTGTGCCTGCTGCCCTAGTGCGTCCGGATCCCCTCGTTTCCCGCTCTGAGCGTGTGCTTGCTGCCCCAGTACGCTCTACCCCGTCGTGTTTTACCCTCGGCGTGTGCCTGCAGCCCTAGTACGTTCGGATCCCTTCGTTTCTCGCTCTGAGCGTGTGCCTGCTGCCCCAGTACGCCTGGCGCCTGCCTGGGATGCCGGCCTCGGCTCTGGAGGGCCTGGACAGCGCCACCCTGCGGCTGGACACGGCTCAGCTGGTCTGGCAGTCCGAGTTCGTCCTCACCTGCGTGGTTACCTCGATGGATACCGGAGATGTGGGCACGGTCAGTCGGAAGCCCGCCAGCTGATCGGTGGCCGTCTCTCAGAGCCTGAGGATCTCCTCTTAGCCGTTAAATAATGTTCACTTTGGTAGCCGCGGCGATGTTCCCTTCTGTTATTGCACGGATCACTTATACCGTGGCTGTACATGAATTACGTTGGATAGCCGGTGTTATAATTACACCTGCTGGGATCACTGATTGACAATCCATAAACCTCCAAAAATTTTCGCAGTCGTTATGGCTGTGCTGTATGCTCCATGAAGCAAGTTCAGCGGTCCACCGAGGAGCGGCAGCAGCCTGCTGACTGTCCTGACGCCTCGACCCTCTCTCCTTGCAGGGCTCGCTGCGTCTGCGGCCGGTAGGTGGCGGCGTGCGCGCCCGGCTGCCGGCCGAACGACGCTCAGTGTCCGCCGGCCAGCCGGTCTTCCTGGACGGCTCGCGTTCGGCTGACCTGGACAGGCGCCCCGGCTCGCTCGCCTTTACATGGAGCTGCCAGCTGGCCGACGGCGGCGGCGGCTGCTTCGTCGGCAAACCCGGGGCGCTGCGCCGCCTGGAGCAGCACCTGGGCCAGGAGGCCGTCAGCCAGCCGACTCTGCGTGTGCCGGCAGACCTGCTCGGCGCCGACACGTGAGGGACACGCGATACGTAGCCCGAGACGCCGGCGGATGGCAGCGGCAGGCAGGATGCGCCCTCTTCTGGCGACTCGTTCAGCTTCTGTACTCTCTGTGGCTGCCGCACGGGCACAAACCAAACATTGCGTGATGGCTCGAATGTCTTAAACGCCGCCCGGTGTTTGAAACAAAAGCATACAGAAAGTGTGTTTCCGTTCATTATTGTAACGCTATAAAGTTTTTTTGTATATAATGTGATATTCCGATGCCTTTGCAGGTGGTACCGCTTCACCCTGCGCGTGGAAAAGAACAGTGATGTGGACGAGGCCTCGACAGAGGTGTTCGTCGGGCGGCAGCGGCGGCCCAGGCTGTGGATCAACCGCAACCAGGACTTCTTTAGCCCATATGAGCCTATCTACATTCCGGCTCAGGTGCATACTGCGTTTTCAGTTGAACAACTTGGGTGTGCATCTTAGTGGGGGGTGGTAGCTTCAAGGCACACAGACAACTATCAGGACTGAATGATTTCGTCGGAACATATGTAGGATGACAACACACTGAGTGAATCGCACGGGCCATCTTCGTGGAAATTAGCTCCCTCAAAATTATCCCCTCCTGCGCGCGTGTTAGCGCTCGTCCAAGCCCGACCACCTGTTTGTGAGCGTTTTCAACCGGGCACCGCCACTCTACAAGTGTCTGGGCGTACCCTCCAGACCTGGCCGATGTCTGAGTTATGCTCTCTTCTCCCGGCCGATGTCTGAGCTTAATGCTTTCCTTCCCCCGGTCGATGTCTGAGCTAGGCTCTCTTCCCCGGCCGATGTCTGAGCCATGCTCTCCTCCTCCGATCGATGTCTGAGGTATGCTCTCATCCTGGCCGGTGTCTGAGCCATGTCCTCGTCCGACCAGGTGTCGACTGACTGGCGGGTGACGGTGCGCTGAGGAGACAGAGTACGAGCTGCCGGCGGCCGCCCTCGACTCCGCCTCGTTCCAGCCCACCGACGTGGCCGGTGGTACCAGGCGCCGGCCGTTCGACCTGGTGCTGCCGCCGCTGGAGCAGCCCGGAGACCGCTGTATGTCTCTGTCTCTCTGTTTCTCTGTCTCTCTGTATCTCTGTCTCTCTGTATCTCTGTCTCTAGGTCTCTGTGTCCGGGTCTCTGTGTCTGGGTCTCTGGGTCTGGGTCTCTCTCTCTCTCCTCTCTCTCGTCTCCTCTCTCTCGTCCTGCCTCTCTCTGCTCTCTCTCTCTCCTCTCTCCTCTCTCTCTTCGTCTGCTCGAAGCTCTCCTCCTCCTCGCTCTCTCTCTCTCTCCTTCTCTCCCTCTCGTCACTCTCTCTCTTCTCACCGTCTCTCCTCTCTCTCCTCGTCTTGCATCATCTCTCTCTCTCTCTCTCTCTCTCTTTCTTTCTTCTAATGTGTAGAGTTAGATGTCCCTTCGGGTTACCCTGTAAGGTGCTTGTTGTTATCAATGCTCACATGTTTTCCATTCCAAGAATGCGCCCGCTGTTTCGCCTCGAGTTGGCGCTGGGCTGTTGCGGCGGCTCGGTGCGGCGACCGCGGACGCCACCCTCACAGGGCCGGCGTTGGCAGGTCGCCTGTGCGGGGAGGTGATCCGCTTCACGCTGCGGGTCGACGCCGAGGGTGAGGAGGCCGACACCTACTCGGCGGAGGTGGAGATACGCATGCCGTCGGGGCCGCTGCAGGGCGAACTGGCGGTAAGTGGACGGCTGGGGTCGCACAACTGCCAGCAGGAATGGCTCTCACTCCTCGGTGGGACTGGGTTTGTTGAATGGGTGTCATCGGGGTGTTGACACCCCTACGTTAGTTCGTGAAAGGTCGGTCGGCTTCTTGAGAAGAGGATGCAACGTTTCCAAGGCATTTCGGACGTTCCATGTTCAGTGTAATGTAGTCGGGAGTGTCAGCTCCCAAAATCGATTCGGAGCTGAGCCAGTGCAGGTAATTCAATCTGCCCTCAGATGCTGACTGCTTCCCGGATTTCGACCACTTTGATTTACGTTCATGATGTCAAGGTTAGAAAGAAGTCGGATCAAATTTTATAGTTGTTATTTGGTTGGATCAAAATTGCTTTGATGTTGGGTAATGACCTTTCATTTGAAGCCACCTTGATGATGGTAATGGTGATATATGACGGTGATGATATAGAATACGGATCTGCGTGGGACCGAGGGTACCAGCAGTTCAGACACGGCATTGCATTCAGAAAATACAAAAAAACAAACAAACAAAAATACACCCCTGAAAAATTCAAGGTGACAACCTGGGTGCAATGAACCCCCAACGCACTGGACACGGTGGAGTGAACACAGCATGCTATGAGGCCATCTCTCAATTTGCGGAAGACTTCCGTCAAAGTCTGCACGCTGCAGCACTGCACATCCTGATTCTAATTGATGTGTCGTGCCCGCCCCCCTTCCCCGGCAGGTGGGGTCTGGAGATGGAATGGTAACGTCTTTGGATGCTTCGACTGGCTGGACAGCGCCATCCGCCGTTCAACCGTTGAACTACGAGTTCGGCTATGTATACCCAGATGGCTTGAAAGTGGCCATGGCTTCGGTTTCTGGTGATGTGCCTCAAGTGAAGATTTTATTGCCTAAAGGTGAGATATTGAACCTGTGCGCTGATGTTTATGATGTCCGGTTGTCAACAGGCATCAGCTGAAGAAGTTGTCTGAAAGTACCCCTCTTCCCAGACAAAGACAACCTGCCCTCTCTTTGTGGGCGCAGGAGGAAGATGATTTTCAGTTAGTCAACCAAAGCTGATTGACGACGAGTGCGCTATCATGTCTTCTTTAAGTTTTATTGCCATCACTAGTATTTTTGTCGTCATGTACGCAACGCTGTCGTCGTCGCGCGGTTCGCGTTCCATAGACATACTAATTTAATACAAAGCCGGGAGCACATGACCGGCCTGTGCTACTCTGATCGGGCCGAGCCCAGCCGGAGGAGCCGGAGGCGTTGGTGAACGCCGCCGTCCGCCTCCGCAGATGCCCGGACAGTGTACGTGGAGGTCTGCTCGGCCGCCGGCATCTGCCGGTCCGTGGAGAGCGACGCGCCGCAGAGCTCGGGCGAAGCGAGCGACGAGAACGCAGAGAGGTGAGCCGCCCACTCGAACAGTCGTGGGATATGTGCACCATTGCTTGCAAATGCCTCGAACCCAACATGAAAATGCACGTTTAATGTAAAGTTGTGATGCTCTCAAAACACGTCTTGAGAAGCGCTAGATTCCTGACACTCGCGTGTAACTCTGCCTTGCCGCCTCAGTTTTTATGGTTGTTTTTTGTGCAAACTCGCGGCACGGTTTGGGGCACCCTTGACGTGGCTTCATCGGTGCTGGGATGAACGTCTCTCCGACACGCCGTCCATCAGCGACTGACCACAGTCGATTAATTTAGGGGCGCGGAGTGTGCGGGCGTGGGAATCTGCTGCTCCCTCTCCCAAACTTTGACGGAGCTGTGCATTAATAGCAGGGCTTTGGTTGAAGAAGCCACCGAAATACCGCTACGCCTGACATATCACTCGAACCCGCTGCCATTGGACCGTGCCTGACCCGGGCTGAGCCCTGAACGTGGCCTAAGCCCAGACTACCGGCCCGCCAGGAGTCTGGGAGAGCTGTTCGTCGAGGCGACGGAGCGCCACCGGGCGTCGCAGGTGCTGGGCTGGGCGCTGGCCGCGCTGGATCGGCTGCCGGCACGCCGGCGCGCCGCCGCCGACGGACTGGCCCCCATCGTGCACCTGGCCGTGCAGAGGGCGTTCGCGTCCGTCCGCCTCAGGTGGGCGCCGCCAGCCGAGCTGGGCCGAAGGTGCCGAGCGCGCCCGCCGCTTGGCCGAACTGGAGCGAGGGTGCCGAGCGCGCCCGCCGCCTGCTCCGTCCGCCGGCACCCTGCCATCTGCTGGCCGGCCACTGACCGGTGACGGCGGTCAGGACGATCTGCCGGCAAAGAGCGTGTTACGTCACACGTCGAATTCTTAGCTGCAGGCGGATTATGTTCTTTCTTATGCGTACGAGACAAGGATAGTCGTGATATTCCCTAGGAAATGTGTTCGCATCACAGTGGCCTAGACAACACTGTGTGAGTGCAGCAAACGCTATTAAGTGATTTGCTCTTCGCATTCACCTGTATCATCAGAGCACGTGTTCAGCAGACTGTCGGTGTATGACATGTCGGTGTTAATATGAGTGCGTGTATCATTCGGGCCGTTTGCCAATCACGTGTATCTAATCTCGTCTTTTGACCACTCACAGGCTAATGGCGACCGTAGAAAGCACAGATATAACTCCTGAGCAAAAGCGGTGGGTAATTCTGCCTCGCAGCAAATCGTTTTAACGTGGCCTTCAAAGTGGCAGTAACTGAATTACGCTAAGAAGTCTTAGCTTTTTTTTGGAGTCCACTTTACGCAGTGAAATGATGTGAACGAGTCGCCACGTTTTTGGTGCAATGTTTAATGCAATAACTACGATGTCGCTCTCAGCCCTTAATACCAGCAGCTCCTGCACCTAATCGCATTCTCTCGTCACGCCACCAGCTCCTAAAGCGTTGGCCGACCTTCCGAAGCGTAATGACGGTGTTGTGACGCCCGCTGGCCACTCGACCACAGTCGGGCGCTGGAGGAGGCGGTGACCACCACCGAGCTGATGACACGACTGGACCAGGCGCTGACCCAGTTCGACCTGTCCGGAGATATCGCCTCCCTCAACAGCCTGCTGCTCGAGGCCGTGGTGCCCAGCGCCACACCCCCAGGTGAGGGTGCTCCGGCGCCCCCCCCCCCCGCGCGCCCGGGCACCGCTCCGCCTGGCGACCCTGTCAATTGTGCGCATAGAAGCAGGAAGCAACCTCTAATTGGCGGTTGGCGGCAGCTCGGAGAGATGCCGCGGGAGATCAGATGCCCGCGGGCCAGTACTTACAGTGATCGGGGCAGGGGAGGGGTGAGGGACAGTGTTTCCGGTGGGACCCCGCGTCCTCTGGGCTTGCGATGAGCGGTACGATGAGATCATTTATAGCCCGGTCGAAAGCGTGGCGCCTTGACTACATTCGAGGCATTAGAAGTATTGGCGA